TTACGGACAATCGGAAAAAGTGCCAAAGTTTTCCGTTTTCTAAGACAAACTGACGATCGACTGCGTATAGTTATTTGCGTCCATTCATTCATTGTTCATCAACGTTTTCCAAACAAAATTGTACATTTCATCCAAAGATCGTTGAATTTTTTTGTAAAAAGGAGTTCCAATCGTAAAGAAATTTGCCAATTTACATTTGGAAAAACTGCAAATGCAATTTTGGTGTAAATTTAATTCAAAGAGTCATTTACGTTGCATTAGGATCGAGATTTCAGTGCATCTCAGTGATATCGAGTTCGCAAAATTCTGAAAATAATTCATTGTTGATTTGATTTTAAAAATTTCAAAAAATGCCAGCAAAAAGAAAATCAAAAAACCCAAATATGCAAAGCGACTTCCCAGATACCGAAGATGGTGAAGTAAATGCTCGAATTCAAATTTTGGTAAGAAAACGGGCTAGCATAAAAAGCAGGTTAACGCGTTTTTCAAATTATTTTCATGCCGCGAAAACTGAAAATCCTAATCGAGCGACACTACTCGAAATTGAATTACGCTTGAAAGAAATTGAATCGAATTTACTTTCGGAATTTTCTGAAATTCAGTTTGAACTTGAGGGCTTAAATTCGAATGATTTCACGGAATCTGAGTTGGAAAAATTTGAGTTTTCGTATTTTGCTTTAATTTCGGAAGCAAAACAGTTCATTTCATGGCACAATGATTTCAACAGAAATTCAACGGAAGATGAAACTCATTCGAGCACATCCATCATTGCCAATGTTCCTCAAAATTCAAATTTTCACCGGAAACCACATGCGAAATTTCCTACCATTGAACTGCCAAAGTTTTCGGGTCAATATGAGCGATGGCAAGAATTTCGAGATACTTTCGTCTCACTTGTACACAAAAGTGAATATCTTGATTCTATCGAAAAATTCCATTACCTGAAAGCTTCACTAGAAGGGCCAGCAGTTCAGTGTATCCAATCCATTGATATTTCCTCCGAAAATTATGATGTAGCGTGGGACATTTTATGTCAGCGTTTCGAGAACAAGCCTTTGTTGGTTCACAATCACATTAAGGCTCTTTTCAACATTCATGATATTAAATCTGATTCGTCAAATTCTTTTAGAAATTTAGTCGATATCATTTCAAAAAACATGCGTTCACTTGAAAATTTAGGAATAAAAACTCAGTTTTGGGATCCTTTGATCATATTTTTGATAACAAGCAAATTAGATGTCGATACGATAAGAGAATGGGAACAGCTAGAGTTCAATGAGGAACTGCCCACCTTATCAGAATTAAAATCATTTCTTTCAAATCGCGCTGATTTTCTTGACAAAGTTTCAATGCACAAAGGAAAACCAAAGAAAGCATTTTATTCCTCTCATGAAAAGAAGACATTTGCATGTTATCATTGCAAAGAACAGCATTCCATTTTTCAATGTCCGAAGTTTCTAGCACTGTCCATTGACCAACGATATAAAACAGTTCAATCTTTAAAATTGTGCCCCAATTGCTTACACAGTGGGCATCCTGTTGAAAAGTGTCGTTCAGGTCACTGCAGGCAGTGTAATCAAAAACACAACTCGCTATTGCATCAAGCTGAATCGGAAAAGGAATCGATTACTTCTTCTGATTCAAAACCCGAATCATCGAAAACTCCTATTGAAGGTAAAGTAACATTACACAATTCCTACCCCGAAAGCCAAGTTTTGCTTGCCACCGCGGTAGTTGAAGTATTTGATTCTGATGGTGAAAAACATTTATGCAGAGCACTTCTTGACAATGCTTCAATGTCCAACTTTATTACTTCAGAATTTGTTAACAAATTAGGTGTCGAAAAACACAAATTCAATTCCTCAATTTTATGCATTGGTCAAAGCAATTCCAGCATAAAACACTCATGCATTGTCAAATTCAAATCCTGTTATTCCAAGTTTTCAAGACAACTAACTTGTTTAGTTATCCCACAAATTACGGGTGAATTACCGAATTGCTATTTCGATCCCATCCAGTTAGAAATACCATCCCACTGTCAGTTAGCCGATCCTAAATTTCATGAACCAGGTCAAGTAGATCTTCTAATTGGCGCAGATACATTTTGGGATTTACTTGATAATGAAAAGATATCTCTCGGGTCACACAAGCCTATTCTACAAAACAGTAGATTAGGATGGTTCATTTCTGGTCCGTTAGGCATTTCCACCCCAAATCATTCTTTCTGTCATCTCTCCACTTTAGATGTTCAAAAGCAGTTAGCCAAGTTTTGGGAAATCGAAGAGTTGTCAAGTGAGCCGATCCTGTCGGATGAGGAATTTCAAGCCGAAAAACACTTCTCTGATAATTTTAAGCGCGGTTCAAATGGTAGATTCACTGTAGCCATTCCACTTAAGAAGTCATCAGAAGTTTTAGGGGATTCCAAGTTACAGGCAACAAACCAATTCTTGCAGCTGGAACGCAAACTTTCGAAAAATCCCAAATTAAAGGCCATGTACACAGATTTTATGACCGAATACCACGATCTAGGCCACATGTCAATTTTTGCTTCATCCAATTCCAAACCTAGATACTATTCACCACACCATGGCGTTCTAAAGGAGGATAGCTCTACTACGAAACTTAGAGTAGTCTTTAACAGCTCAGCTCCCTCTTCATCAGATGTATCCTACAATTCTATCCAGATGGTTGGGCCTGTGGTACAAGATGATCTGGTTTCCATCATGCTAAGATTTCGGCAACACCAGTATGTAATTTCTGCAGACATCTGTAAAATGTACCGACAAATATTAGTCCAAGAGGAGTATCATCCTTTGCAGCTTATTCTATGGAGAGCAGATCCCATGGATGAACTTCAAACTTTCTCTCTTAATACTGTGACTTATGGTACGGCAAGTGCTCCTTTTCTAGCCACACGCTGCTTAAAACAGTTAGCTATCGAATACGAATCATTGAATCCTCATGCATCTCGAGTCATCAGTAAGGATTTCTACGTCGATGATCTGCTATTTGGAGCTGACAGTTTCGAAGAGGCAGTACATTTGTGTCAGGATGTTTCATCAATCTTAAAATTATGCAAAATAAAGTCTTCCAAGGGACATCACAAACCTTTAACAATCTTCGAACTCCGTCATGCAAAGGAAGTTTTAACCAAGTTGTCTCAACGCGAAAGCTTTTCAAGGGAAATACATGAACTTTCAAAGTCA